TGTAACATTTTAATATTTTTTAATTTTTTTATTCTTTAAGATAAAAAAATTTCCAAAAAAGAAATTGAAGAGGACACCATTGCTCAACATTTTATTCCTTTCTTTGTTAAGATTTTATTTTACTCTATATTATTTCATGGCATTAAAATATTCATATACAAAGGTCTTCATTAAAGCACTGGTTATAACAAATAAATATTAGAAAGGAATGTTTAATATAAAGTGGAATTGGTAGATCATTGGATATAAGCATATTCTGATGTATTACTGAAGTGTTGGAACCAGATTTGGGGGATGGTTTTTAAGAGAATGAAAGAAAACTTAGCATGCCAGTAAGACAGCAATATCAGAAATCCTCTGTGCATTAAGACAAATGCATGAAAAAAGTTGACACCAGTATCTGCTAAATTACCTCTGAATTATACACATTTGTCTTTTATATTTCTTTTTTTTTTTTTTTTTTTTTTTTTTTGCGGTACCAGGGATTGAACTCAGGTCAGGACCCTGAGCTTGCCAGGCAGGCGCTTATGCTACTGAGCTATCTCCCCAGCCCCCCCCCTTTTATAATGTTGTAATGATAATGTACTCATTTTAAAAGAGGAGGTCCACATGACATGACTGATGTTAACACTATGATTTAGTTATTATCATAAGGAGGGGCTTAAAATGAAAAATTATCAAGCCATTGTTCTGGTTTAGGTCAAGAATGTCCTCTCAAAGCATTATTGACTTAGTGTCGAGGCTGGTGGAGTTTTCAGATGGATCTGGCGGGGAGAGGCGGGCCACTGTGGGTCACTTTCCCAGGGGCCGGGATGGGCACATCTGCCTCACGGTGTACTCCTTTCTCTCTGCGCTCCCAGGTGTCATAAGAGGTACAGCTTTTCCTTTCTTGTCCCTTCTGCTGTACTGTCCTGCCTTGGAGCCAGCAGGGTACGGAGCAAAAAGGCCAGGCACAGTAAACATCTCCTTGGGCTGCTGATGTAGCTCAGGAGCACAAGTATCTACCTAGCAAGTGCAAGGTCCTGAGTTTAATACCCAGTACCGAAAAATAAAAATAAAATAAATAAACCTCCTCCTTTAATTGGTGGATGTAAGATACTGTGTTCTAGTACTAAGAAAGTAGCTAATACAGCAATTCATCGCTGATCTACTAAAGCACATCAGATTCTAATTTTTCAATATTTAAGGTAACATATTATAAGTTAACAATCCCATAGTCTTATAAGAAGAGCAGGAAGGCTACATTATGTCAAAGGAGCAAGTCTTAGGGGAAAAGGCTACATTATAATCATGATTTATTTCAGTCTTTCCATACAAGAATTCACTCTTTGAGACATAAAGAAACCATTCCAGATATACATTATGACTTTCCTACTGGAGCTTGGCACCTAACTGCCTTGGATGTAGTTTGCAAACATTTTGTAGCAAGGAGTTACTTTGGCACTGGATTCCTTACTGTTTGGAGTTCATCGTGAATTCTATTACACGAAGTATTTGCCTTAAATTAGTGTCAGGCTCCTTCCCCTCTTTATCGCATGACTCTTGTATGCTTCAGTCCCTGAGGCAATCCCGCTTGCTGCCTGATTTTTGCTCACATCTCAAGAGCTGTTGTCTGCTTGCTTCCCGTTGGAACACACACCCTTCCGTGCATACAGCCACCTACCACTACAACTCACAGTAGCTACAACACAACTGAATAGCCAAACAGGATATAGAGAGCTTGCTGACCCACGGGTTTGTGATTGCCTCCCCCGCCCCACAGTCATGCATAGCATCCTGCTGGTTGGGTCAAGGACAGACATATACACAACAATGATCTTACAGGATTGTATCACCCAGTGAAGCTTTACCTTGTGTACGTACACTGTGACATTTGAACAACAACACATTCACCTAATGACACAATTTTTAGAGCCTATCTCTGTCATTAGGGGGCTAGACTATGTATACACACACACACACACACACACACACACACACACCCATACATACACAAGTGGTTAGACTCTGTGCTTTATAAAGCATTATAATTAAATATAAAATTAATTATTGTGAGAATAAAATCTGGCTCCTCGAGTGAACTTTGCTCCACAGAGGGACGTGCGAGAGTCCCTCCCGTGCACGGACCGCGCGGGCTTCCCGGCGCCGCCCCAGAGCCCTGCGGGGTTCTCACCTCGGCGAGCGGATTTCTCGTCCTTCACACAGATTTCACTGAAGGAACCAACTGGATCGCAGTGACAAGGCTGGCAAGGTCTCGGATAATTTGGTGATACCTAACAGAAATATTAAGATGCTTTCGGTCAAATGTAATAAAACTCCAGTAGTTTTCAATTCAGTGAATTTTTAAGGATGTAGTAGTTTTATAAAGCATAAATATTTTGAGAAAATTATAAAATGTTATCTTCAATATATGTTTGCTATCTCTAATCCCCATGTTACAAATATCTACAGAGAATAAAGAAGATGGGTAAACAAACTCTTAATATTTGCTCTCTAGATTCGAAAACTGTCAAGATTCTGCTGTCTGCGTTTCATGCCACTTTGTCCTTTACAGCATTTTTTTTAAAGGAAATTGAGGCTAAAAACTAAGTCCATACAAATTTAAGCATACATTCATCTTTTGTCACCAGAGTATTACCATCATAACAAGGAAAAATGATAATATTTATTTGAATAGTCTAAATATTTTCCATAAAATGTCTTTTTTTTTTTTTTTTGCTTTTTATTACAGCATAGCTCAAAATTAGCAATGTAAAGTTTCTGCCCAATTTAAAGAATCTCTTCACGTTGATTGCGGTATGATGATTTAAATAGAAATTTATGTTTGATGCACTAAACTACTATTAAATATTTAAATGAAAAACTTGTTTTTCAGGGAGGCTGTGTTCCCTGAGAGGGAACAATGGAAACTGACTTGGAAAACTTGGGCTCATGTCCCAGTGAGGCCCCTTACTGGGTAGGGGCTGTTGGGCAACTTATTTACTTCCTTGTAATACAAGAATAATAAAAAATAACCACAGAAATATTCTATAAATTAAAGTGAAAAGGAACAACATATAAAACACTTTCTGGCATATATTAAATACATGACAGAACTCATAATCTTACCTCTTAATTTAATTTAATTTAATTTAATTTAATTTATTTTATTTTTGCAGAACCGGGGATTGAACTCAGGCCCTTGTGCTTGCCAGGCAAGCACTTATTCTACTGAGCTACCTCCTCAGCCCCAAAGATTACTTATTTATATTTACATACTGTTTATTTATTTATTTATTTATTTATTTATTTATTTTGTGGTGACAAGGATTGAACTCAGGACCCTGCACTTGCCAGGCAGGCGCTTATTCTACTGAGCTATCTCCCTGGTCTATACCTCTCTATTTTAATTAAATAAAATTAAATTATGTTCATATAATGTACATACAACATGTGTTTTTCAGACAGAATAAAAAAGAAGCAAATAAATTAACTGTCTAGGAAATACTGAAAAGAATATAGTGCAGACACCTTTATCCATGTGTCAATACACATACCTGTACACATATGTACATATATGCGTATATGTAAGTTTAATTCCCAAGTGGAAAGTTGATAGTTGACATACACAAGGCATGAAAACTGGAGTTGTTTATAGAAGATTGTTTACAGTTGGTTGAAGATGTCCCAGTAAGCTCACAGAGCAGCACCAAGGTTGCCGCCACCTGCCCAAGCACCTCACTGTGGCATAGGGATTGTTCTTGGCACAGGTTGGAGTCTTGGGCCCAGCCTTAAGCTCATTGGCCTAACTGCTGAACGTCAATGGCTAAAGAGAATATGCTAAGTGTTGAAAGAGATACACAAACAGGGCCTTATGGGGCATAAAAAGGAAGAATATTACAGCCTGGAAATCGAGCCACACTTTGTGGAAAAACTAACATTTTTATTACAGCTTCAAATATGAGTAGCAATTAGAAAGTGGGACTGGGAGAAGAAATGCTTTCTACCTGCAGAAAACACCAGGAAAAAAAAACCTGTGGCATACTGTAATATGTTGCTTTACATAAAAATTTGACTATTAGAAATATGACTATGATCTCAACGTTGAGCTTCAGGGAGCCCAGGCCTTCTGCCGGCAATATTGTCTGTCGTTGTTGGAAAATTTCCTTGACTTAGACCTGCTCACTAAGAAAGCTGATCTATAAGATGCTGTAAATATGCCTACACTGATTTTTAGTTTTGGCAAAATAACTCAGATTATAAGTCAGTCCTCTAAATCAATAGTGTTCTATATTTCCTATATAACATATACACATATCAATCAAATTTATATATTTAGTAGATAAATGTAAAAATCAAACTTTCCAAAAACAATTTTAAGAACATCATAAATATGTTATGTGTTCCAGTGCACAAAAGTTTATTTTCATAGCTTTCTGGACTTCTTCCCAAATATTAAGTGCTTGAAATACTTGTATATAAAAAAATTCCATCTAGTAAAAGTATTTTATGACTCTTAAAATATGAAAATATCATCCAGATTCACTTAATTACTTGACTTGTAATAAAAACTTGATCAAGCTTCTAGGTCTGATTTAGAAGGGCGTCTTGTGTGAGAATAATGTATCATTAGATGACAACGATGAATTACGAATCCTGGACAAAATATCAAAATTAAATTATTTGAGGTCTTATGTGTGAATTATGAAAAGCAGGCATAAACCAGAATCAGGTGATGTTTGAAAGGAAAACAATACACAGAAGAATACCCATTCTTAGAGAGGGCCGAGGCCAAATGCTGCCTATCTGTGCCTGTCAGTGTTGAACAATCCATTGTTGGGTAGGTGCATGCAAGAGAGGCCAAGGAATGCTGGGAAAGCAACTCGGCAAGGCTGAGTAGGAGGAGCAGAATTCTCAGGTGCTTCCCATCATGAAATGAACAGGATATGGACTATAGGCCAACCAAGTTAGAAATGTTAGGTAAGTACCACAAGTTTGCTCTGTGTTCTAACAACGAAAAGGAAATCTCCACAAATTTCAGTAAGCTTGCTGCTAATCAGAGTACAACCCAAACCCTCCAAGGGAAGATAACTGAATGTAAAGTCTGTGCATTGCACTACCTGGAATGTCCCTTAAAGCAATAATTACATCACTGCGCAGTGGTATGCACCTGTAATCCCAGCAGCCCGGGCAGGCCAAGCAGGAGGATTCTAAGTTCAAGTCCTGACTGGGCAGTATAGCTACTGTCTCAAATGTAAAAAAATCAAGACAAAATAAGGGTTCTGGGGGTGTAGCTCTGTGGTAGAGCACCTTCACATTTAATCCTCACTCTACCGGAAATGAAATAAATTAATAATGAGCAAAAATGTGATACTCATTTAATAACAAAGAAGTCAATGAAAGGAGATGATGGGATGAAACAGGTCTTGGAAATAACATAGTTGGAAGCGTTATTGCAGGTATTGCAAATATATCCAAAACATAAAGGAATCAAGTGTTCATACTGAGTGAATGGATGACATATTTCAGCAGAGAAGCAGAAATTATAAGAAACATAATTCCTGATAATCAAAAGTCTATATGAGTTATGTTTGAAAAATGCAGTGAATATTTAAATATTAAAAATTTACAACAGTAAAGACACATTGTGACTTATTTACTTTAAAACACCTCCCTCACTTCAAACATTCCCAACATTCTTGCCAATTTCTAGAGCAGTTCTGGAAGGGCTCTTTGATGAGTGTCTTCAGTTGTACCATAGTTGCTGCCTCAACCACAAATCTGTTAAAAATGTTTACTTCTCATGATCATTATGAATCGGAGAAAGCTGGACTCACATGGTGAGAGACTCAGTGAATAAGGTTGATGAAGACTCAACATAATATTTTAAAGCTTGCCACATAATGTATTTTTGCGGGGGCAGAACTGGAAATTGAACTCAGGACCTTGAGCTTGCCAGGTAAGTGCTTATTCCACTGAGCCATCTCCCTGACCCCAACATAATATTTTAAAGCTTGCATTTTCTTTTGATGGCACAAGGAACCTGATTCATCCTTTTTTCTTTTCTTTTCTTTTTTCATTTTCTTTCTTTTTTTTTTTTTTTACCTAGTAAAGACTCTCATGGAAGATAATATCTAGAACTTCCTCAGAGAGTGGCAATTGTGTTTGATATGGGGTGAGGGTTGCAGGTAATATAGCTTTTATTATAAGAATGTTTCTTGATATTTAAACACATAGTTCGGATCAACCCTTGAATCTCAATTTTAAAAGCCTATGCCTGTGTTTAATGTCAGATTACAAATGACAAACAAACAAACAAAAAAACCCCCACTTCTTCACAGTATCGGCATATGGCAAATGAACAATCACATATAAAGAATGGAGTAAGAAACTGCTTTTATAAATAACAGCACTGCCTCATTAATCCATACAGCACAATCCAGCAACATGATATACATGTAGTTAGAAGGGTAGACAGAAAAGAGAAAAAATGGGTGAAAAAATACTTCTTGGGAGCTATGACTTAAAATTTCCTAAACATGGAATTAACTCTCAATTTATTGCCTCATGAAACTAAGAAATTAATCAAACACTTCAGAGTTTCATGGAGGTTAGGATACATTCTGCAGAGATAGTGAAATGTGATTTTGTAAGTCACATAATGTCTGTCCCTCTTTTTCCTTTCCTCCATCTATCCTTTATCTTTTTACCTCTCTTCTGACTTCTAACACAGCTTTTCAAAGGCAAACAACATCAACAACAACAATAGTAATAAAAAAATAAAAATATTTAGCTTTCATACCATGTACAAAGAGGTCATAGACCAGATTGGTCTAAATGCCAGTTTTCGAAAAAATTGGCACAACTCCTGAAAGGCAATTAAAAGAGAATATATTGAAAGGAGCTAGTGAGTTAAGATGGTCATGATTTGTGCCTACAAGTTCCCCTAAAGCTTTATTAGCTCATAGGTGAGGCTTTTGGGTGGTGATTGGATCATGGGGGTTTGATAGATGAGTGGGTTTGTCCACTGAAGACCTGCTGGTTAAATGCTGTGTTGGGAGGAGAAGCCGCCTTGGAGGAGGCCGGTCCCTGGGGCATAGCCTGGGCGGGTCTGCCGCTCTCCTTCCTTGAGCTCTCTCTCTCTCTCTCTCTCTCTCTCTCTCTCTCTCTCTCT